TCTTCAGTCTCTTCATTTATAGTTATCGGATCGGAAAGAATTCTGTTCGCGTCGCGTCCGCTATTTAAACCTAACTTGAATTTAAAACTTTGAAATTGTTTTGTTTACTAGGTATTTTAAAACTAAAGGGCTAAAGTGCTTATTTCCAGAACTTTATTGTTCAACGTCTGCCAGTGGGCTTAGGGTAACAAGCAACAAATTCTCTTAGAAGGGCTAAGTCGTCATCTGCTGTAAACCTCAGCCTCTTTATAGGTTCTTTAATATCGGAAGAGGTGGAATCCATATTTTGGGCCATATTTATTTAATTAAAACTAATCCCAGCTACTTAAATATCAAATTACCTAATAAGACTAAAGTAATAATTCAAAACAATTCAAACATAACCTAAAATAAAAGATCTCGCCGGCCGGCCCCGGTTGTCAAATACCCGCACATGTCCATTTAAGCAATTTTTAAACGTTATTTAGAAATAGCGCTTGGTGTAATGATCCGCAAATTACGTCAGGCGGTAACGTTATTAGCGGGTGTTGCGTTAAAAATTGACTCGCGCATATCGTGACCATGATAAGGTACGCGTAAATACTGCATGACGCTATTCGGTTTTCCGATATCTCTCTAATAACTGTGCCGGTCAGGCGCTGTGCACAATTTTAGAGGCCATAAGTGGGCGTGCTATGTGCGCAAACTAGTAACCTAACTAGTGCCCGTGATTCCGAAAATTGGAACCACGAAAAACAATAAAGAAAAAACAAAGTTTATAATCTGTATAATTCTCATATTCAAATCTAGAAAGATGCTGAAATATACAAGGTGGTCCAGACTGTATCCGGAAACTTCGGCAGCATATTCTATAGATAAAAATAAGTAAAAAAGTTCGTCCAATGTATGCCCGAAATTGCTTAGTTTCGGAGATACTTACAGGGAGTAGAAGCTTCATTTTTATTTCGATTTTTTTCCAAATAATTTCTGGAGTAACGTCAATTTGGATGAAAATTAGTATCTGGGGTTTTTTGACATGAGAAATTTGATTTTGATGTCAATATGACTCCTATTTGTAGGAGGCACCACCTACTTGTGTTTTAACTAGTTTGAAAAGTAATAAAAATAATAAACTTTTCGTCCGTACCGGTATAAAACTAATGAGTGAAAAAATATAATTATATTTCCGTGATTTTTTACGTAAAAAATGTCTCTTGGTAAAAATCGCTACCAGCAACAGTTCTCAAAATATTTAGAATGGAAATAGTCAATATATGTCATTATTGACAAAAAATAAACATGTTGGGTAGATAGTTATTTGACTGAAACGATAAATTTGGGAACTATTTAACTTTTTAAATTAATCATACATTTTCTTCGAAAAAATGATGATGAAACAGTTTCTGTTGAACTTTTGGCACAAAAAAAATTCCAAATTTATGATTTTAGTCTAATAAAAGTCAATGACGACAGCTATTCATAATTTCGATTCCAAATATCTCGAGAATCATTACGTAGCGATTTTTACCAAAAAACCTTTTTTACGTAAAAAACGTCTTAAATGTATATTTTTTTACTCAGTAGTCTTATACAGGTACGGTCAAAAAGTTATTACTCTTCAGACCAGTACTACCGTTACTTCAGAAATTATTTGGAAAAAAATCGAAATAAAAATGAAACTTCTACACTCTGTATCTCAAAAACTAAGCATTTTAGGACATATATTGATACGAACTTTTTTACTTATTTTTATCTGCAGAATATAACAATAATAATAATAATAGTTCTTTATTTAGCAAAAATGCTACTTAACAACTATTTTTTACATATATGTAATTTCACTTAAATATCTAAATTATCAGCGTAATACTTAGAAACTAGTTTCTTAAATGTATAAATACTATTTGCCAATTTAAAATCGTCTGGTAGTTTATTATACAATTTCAATCCATCAAAGAACAACTGTTTTTGAAGTTGCGATGTAGATAATTGTAACCTATGAAGATCTCCCCTTGTACATGCTAATAGTAATGAGTTACAATATTGAAAATGTGGATAGATTATTGTATTGTAAACAGTTTTTCTAGTCCACAGAGTCGATTCTTTAGACACTCTTTTAAACATTCCAATTTTTTTACCTAACTTTTTACACATATAGTCAATGTACAAGGAGAATCTCAATTGCGGGTCCAAAACAACACCCAGATACTTAATTTCCGTTACAAGGTTTATTTTCACTTGATTAATGTGCAATAGAAAATTATTATCTGTAAACTTCTTACAATTTATATGCTGCCGAAGTTTCTGAAATATAGTTCGGACCACCCTATAGAGAAAAACTTGAATCGAAATGTGAACAAAAGTATAGAGAATAAATGTGACAACTGTCAAAGCGTTGTAAAAAAATAAAACCGTTAAAAATATTTTGCCTGTGACTTTAAATATGACCTCTATGTTTTATTCTAAACATTTTTTTAGTAACTGCTTTGTCAAGTTTAGAAAGTTAGACCAGGGTTGCCAACCGTCCTCTATTCCAGAGATCTCACTGTCCTGATCAACCGTCCTCTATTTTGATCTCACTGTCCTCTTTTCTCTCACGTATTGAAAAAGTCCTCTCAAAATCTAAAAACTATTCGTCTATCGCCACAATGCTTTAAAAATTGTTAATCTGTGTCTTTCGCTATCTCCCACTCGTTTGTATAGAAAAAAAAAATATGAAGAAATATTTATGTATGCAGGGTCCTCCACTAAGAATAGCTCTCGGCTGTATCTCGGAAAGTATTAGTCGTAGAGTTTGCGGAAGAACGTGAGAAATTGTTGGAAATTATTTTCAAGCTTGTAGAGCAGCCGTTGAAGGACGTTATTAAAAAGAATAAAGACACAGTTTTGCTTAGATATCGGATACTATAAATCATTGAGCCCGGTCTTCAAAATTTGCATATGCCTTTTGTTAGAACTATTTTTCATTCGCCAAAATAAAGTAGTGGAAGAAGGATTAGGCTCTGGTTTTTATTTAAACATTAATACCCGGATTGGGACTCAATTTTGAATCTAACAAACGGAGGCTCGTTTAAGAAAGCGGTTCTTACTCTATATTATAGCGTATAAACAATAATAATAAGCGCTGTTGAATGTAGACGCTAGAGAGGCGCTGTCTACAATTTAGTAAATATTGCGCGTTTTTTCTCAAAAATTAGAAATGCGATAGTATATATAATTTTAGCTGATAGTAAAGAGTAATAAAAGTTTAAAAAGTCAGCAAAACTCATCTTGGTATCAGTCTTCTTTCAAACTGAAGATATTAGCAAAATTATAATAAATAGATACGAAAAAACAATCTCTTAATTGGCCTTATATTTTTAACACGTAGCTACAGTAGTTCTCCTTGATTATGACTATTCTAATAAAAAATAAGATGAAAATGATTAAGTTTAGTTTAGTATCGACAATATGAATACGATATACAATAATGAATGTATTAATATCTAATAATTATGATATCAACGACAGTTAATAAGAATGACGCCATCAGTGGAGTATGGTGGAAAAAGTTTTGGAAAAGATGCTTTTGACGTAATAGGCATAAACGTCAAAGAGTTATTAAATCAACATTTTTGATATAAGTATTAGCAGCGTTTTTCTCTTTCGAAGAAAGGCATTTTTAGAAAAAGCAATCAAAAGATAAAAAACGCTGCTAAGACTATCAAATTGATGATATAATAATATTTTTGAGTTTAAACTATCTCTCTTTAAAAGCAACTTTTTCCAAAGCCTACCACATGAATTCACTGAAGCGTCGTTTCTTAGTCACTCTATTCGATATCTTAATTGTTGTAGATATTAATACACCTAGTATTATCGTATGCTGGTACATTGTCGATTTTTTAAATGAAATAATCTTTCCTATAATTATAGCTTTTTATTAGAATGGTCATAATCAAAATGGCTAGGGATACCGTGTTAGAAAGATAAGGTAGTTAATGGCTTATTTTTTTCGTATTTATTAAGTAATTATGCTAATAACTTTGGTTTGAAAAAAAGATATCAAGATGCGGTTTTCGCTGAATTTTTTAAACTTTTTATTACCTTTAGTATCAGCTAAAATTTCTTCATATATACTATTTATATTTAACCCTTTTTCGAAAAACGCGTAATGTTCGTTAAAAAAACGCGTAATGTCTGTTAAATTGTAAGACAGCGCTTCCTAGCGTCTACACCTCAAAAAATCTATACTATTGTTTATATGGTATAATATAGAAAGAAACGCCTCTTAAACGAGCCCCCACTATTGGATTCCGATCAACCAGTTCGGAGTTATTAACATTTAAATATAAACAGATCTAATCTTCCCCCACCACTTTTTTTGGCAGATAGGGGAAAATGGTTCTAACAAGAAATATGCAAAATTTACTGAAGATTATGAATCTATTATTTATAATATCCATTATCTAAGCAAAATTGTGTAAAAACTCATTTTTCTTATTTTTAATAGCAGTTGCACCCTCTAGCGGCCGCTCTACAAACTTGAAAATAATTTCCAGCAATTTCTCATGCTCTTTTTAGTAATAAATATTTTTTTCCGCTAGCTCTACGACTAATACTTTTCGAGATACAGCCGAGAGCTATTCTTAGTGGGACACCCGGTACAAGAAATCTTAGTGGAAGCGATAAATATGTTACTTACTGTTACCTTATGTTTTGAAACAAGTTTTGTTGAAAATGGTTTGTTTTAGCTACTTTTACTTTTTTCAGTATAAATATCAGTATAAATATTTTTAAGAAAGTAAGAAAGACCATCAATGGCATACCATTGACATAACTAAATTCTAGACATTTGGGCGAAGTTTCAGAAAATGTTTCGCCTTTGCCTCTTCTTTACCCTCTTGTCCTCTATTTTTTGTTTTGAAAGTTAGCAACCCTAAGTTAGACCACTTTACTATTGATCGAATTTCGTATCTTTTAAACTTCGCATATCTTTGATGCCAACTTTTATTGATGTCTGTATGTTTTTACGTTTTCAGTTTTCAAGATCCAATCAACCTATACCTAATCATGGAGTTCCTGCCGGGCGGCGACATGATGACGCTGCTCATGAAAAAAGACACGCTCTCGGAAGAGTGCACGCAGTTCTACATCGCGGAAACGGCGCTGGCCATCGACTCCATCCACAAGTTGGGCTTCATCCATCGAGACATCAAGCCCGACAACCTCCTACTGGACGCCAAAGGCCACCTCAAACTGTCCGACTTCGGACTGTGCACCGGGCTGAAGAAATCGCACCGGACGGACTTTTACAGGGATCTTAGTCAAGCCAAACCTTCCGATTTTAGTGAGTATATTGCTTATATGTGACTTGTTCAGTCATTGGGGATCAAAAAGGGGCCTGCTTGGAAAAAAGTCCGGAAGTTTTGAAACTTTGCAGGTTTATAGGTTTTGGGGTTTCTAACTAAAATCCATAAAATGCACATTTCCAGACTTGCTGCCGGCGCCGCCATCTTGGAAAGATGGCGCCCAAAATCGGTATTTTGTGAATATCTCGAAAACTATGCGTTTTTCGCGAAAATTTGAGGAGAGCAAAATTAAAGAGAATAAAATTTCCTATAAAAAAAGCACAAAATCCCTGAAAATTTTACAATTTTGCGTAAAATATGATATATTATGAATAGTCGATTTTCCGAAATCAAATGTCGATAAGGGTTCACTAAAACTAGTTTTAGTTTAGTTTCTTCAATTTTGTCATGAAACAGTGGCGTATCATTAATTCGCACATTAATTTATGAATAATTAATTGTCGTGCTGGACAGCATTCATTGCGAACTTACCACCAGATTCAGCATTGGTCTGATTGTCCCAAAGATGCCGAAGAATGGGGTTGGAAGAAAACAAAAACAGGCATTACTCCAGTCACAACGTTGAAAGATCCAGCTCCAAAATCCCTGTTGGCATTTTTATCCTGTAAATGCAAAACTAACAACTATGGTAAAGCCTGCGGATGCAGAAAAGCAGGATTAAAATGTTCAATGATTTGTGCATACTGCAATGGGAAATCCTGTGACAACGTCACTGAAGTGTCACTTGACGAATTCGATGAAGAGGAGTTCAACTTGCCTGTAGATATCCCTCTGGCGGCTGAAGATGAAGAGTTGGACGTATTGAGAGACCACCCTGACCAGCCTAGTACAGCAGACACGATCGACTTTGACATCAATGAGCCAGATCCGTCGGGCTTGTGCAGATAAGTTAAAGTTTTTAATTTATCTAGTGGACTAGGCCTCCGGGGAGACCACGTTAAAATAAACGCGCCATATACTTTACCTCTTGGGTGGTGTGGAAACAAGTACACATTTTCAACACAAAAAATCCGGCGACGACAGTTTTTAGAGGTGCAAATTCTATCTTTTAGTAAAAACAGCAACAAGCTTTCTAGAGCAAGTCGTTACTTCAGTAGAAACGACACAGATAAACATTAGCATTTTATATATTGTAGATTTTATGCGAAATTGTAAAATTTCCAGGATTTTGTGCCTAAACGGTTGACTTTGAAGCGAAAATTTTCATTAAACCTTTTTATAGGAAATTTTATTCTCTTTAATTTTGCTCTCTTCAGATTTTTGCGAAAAACGCATAGTTTTCGAGATATTCACAAAATACCGATTTTGGGCGCCATCTTTCGCAAGATGGCGGTGCCGGCGGCAAGACTGAAAATGTGCATTTATGGTTTTGAGTTAGGGACCCAAAACCTATAAACCTGCAAAGTTGCAAAACTTCCGGACTTTTTCCAAGCAAAAATTCCCAATGACTGAACTAACTATATTGTTAGAAAAAAAATGAATGTGTTATACAGGGTGGTCCGAACTGTATTCCGGAAACTTCGGCAGCATATTTTGCAGATAAAAATTTTCGTAGATACAAGCTGTAGAAGTTTAATTTTTATTTGGATTTTTTTCAAATAATTTCTAAAGTAACGTCAATATTTGGATGAAAATTGGTGTCTGGGAGTTTTTTTGGCATGGGAAATTTGATTTTGATATCAATATTACTCCTACTTGTAGAGGGCGCCACCTGCTTATTTTTTAACTAGTTTGAAGAGTAATAACTTTTCGTCCGTACCTGAATAAAACTATTGAGTAAAAAAATATACATTTATGACGTTTTTTACATAAAAAAGGTCTCTTGGTAAAAATTGCTACGAGTCATGGTAATCGAGATATTTGAAATCGAAATTATACCTGTCATCACTGACATAAATTAAACATGTTGGCTAAATAGTTACTAGACTGAAATCATAAATTTGAATTGTTTTTGTCCCTAAAGTTCAACAGAAACTGTTTTATCATCATTTTTTGCAGAAAAATGCATGATTAATTTAAAAAAAAAATAAAAATATCCCAAATTTATTATTTCATTCAAATATCTATCTACTCAACGTGTTTATTTTTTGTTAATAATGACATGTATTGACTATTTCCATTCTAAATTTCTTGAGAACGGTTGCTCGTAGCGATTTTTACCAAGAAACATTTTTTCCTTAAAAAGTTACTGAAAGGTATATTTTTGCCTCTGTAGTTTGTAAGTTTCTAGTTTCTAATCATCTGCTGATGATGCTAACATGGTTAGCGAAACGCGCGTCCAGGGTAAAAGTAAAAGTGTTTTGGTGTATTGTGGTGATTTAGTGTTTTTTTTTGCTCTGTAACACCAAAGGTTCCAACCCTTAACTGTAATCTGTAGTTTTATACAGGTACGGACGACAAGTTATTACTCTTCAAAACACATGTAGGTGGCGCCACCTACAAATAGGAGTCATATTGACATCAAAATCAAATTTCTCATGTCAAAAAACTCCCGGACACGAATTTTCTTCCAAATATTGACGTTAGGTACTTCATAAATTATTTGGAAAAAATCGAATTAAAAATGAAACTTCTACACCTTGTAACTAAACTAGGCATTTTAGGATATACACGAATAGGTACTATTTGAACCAGTTGCATGATGTATACTAAAATAAAAAATAAATCAAAATATCTTAATAGAAGACGATCTTATTAATTTATATTTGCGGATTTCCACTGAGGTCTGCTTAGAAACCCAAATATAATTAAGTTTAAAGCACTTAAGGAAAGATTTCGGTAAAAGGTTGTCTGGGAGCGACTTTCAGGGAGATGCTTTTAAGGAAGTTTTTATTACACTAATTCCAAGACCCTTTAGAATAAGATTATAAGTTTGTATTATTAAATAAATTGAAAATATATCGTTTTAAGGCTGTTTTCAAAAAGTTTAATGTCATTTTTAAAACTGATACCTAGATGGTATATTATTTTACAGTTTTATTCTAGTACTCGCAATGATGTGACTGCTAATTTAAGTTCTGGGACAATATTCTTCTAGTTTTACCACCTCTAAACAAAACCAGTTGCAGAATAAATTATAAACAATATGAAATATGTAAGCTCAGAAAAGCTCAACAAACCCGCAAAATTTCAAATGTGTCAATTGAAATGTCAAACGGAATTCTAATGCCTGAATACATGGATAGCATTATAATGCTTAATGCAGGAGTATACTCCTTCCATAATCGTTAAAATTAAAATCAATTTGGAGATACTTACATAAACTAAAAATTATTTTCGTCCGTTAACTCTCGAAAGAGTAAGGTGACATCATCGTCTCAATCGCGCTGATCGTTGTTCTTCATCCTTCTCTATCTTGAGCAGCTGGAGAGCTTTTTGCAGACCGTGACCAATAATTTATTTAATTTAATCTCTGGTTTGGTCCACCCAGAGCGTCGGAGACCCTCCTCTTGATCGTTTGCCATTAATCTTCCATTCGATGATGATTTTTTCCAGTCCATCTGTTCCTCTCGAAATGTGCCGAAAGAACCTAAGGTATTTCTTTGAATGTGGTAGACAATGATTCTTTTTCTTCTTCCTTCTTCATAATAGGCGAATCGCCTGTTTGGTTTCGTCGTTTCTACCGGTTAGACTGACAAGTTGTAGGTCCATAGTTTTCGTGGACGTCCTAAGCTTCTGCGATCTAGCGGTGATTTGTCGCGTGCAACTCTCACTATCCTTCTGTTGTCCATTCTGCTGATATGCTCGTTCTATTCTTCCTTTCTACTGAGTACCCACTGATTTACATTTTCCATCTTACATGCTCTTCTTATGTTTTCATTTCTCTCCTTGTCCAGAAGCGTCTTTCCAGCTATTCTGCGTAGTACTCTCATTTCGGATAGTTGTTTAGTTTAACTCTGTATCAGGTCGAGTTGCTGCAGTGTATGTCATTATTGGTCGTACCGTTGCCTTGTAAATTCTCGCTTTCAAAATGATTCAGTATTGAAAATAAAAGAATGTCGGACTTCCGTGATCTATTTATTTCTATTACCTATTTATTTGGCATTCATCTATGAAAAAGTTGGGTGCAGTTAACCGTGAGGTTGTCCACTTAGAATGCCTGCATTGGATCGTTTTATCAGTGGTTAGGTATTTCGGTACTAGGATTACTGAAAATGTTATTATTGCTTGCTATAAAAACTGACCAAACATGGTCCAGAATACCTGACTTCATTGTTTCACCTTTTTGAACATGTTTTTTGTCCTCACCAAGTCGTACATTTAGAGGACGTTTAGTCTCCAATATACGGCTCACCGCATTCACAAGGTACCTGGTACATGCACTCTTTCTCTTGTTTCAATGGTTCCGGATGCTTCTTAGAGTCTAGAGTCGATCCAGATTTGAAGACAGTTTTAATGTTATACTTTTGGTTATTCGCTTGATCTTTTTTTATGTTTTCCTTTTACGTATGGAATAGTCAAGAGAGAGAGCATCCTCCTCAGGTCGATGAACCAATGAATCAGTTTTACAAGTTGATATAATTTTGTCTACGAACTTCTCAGAGTAACCATTTTAGTCCTTTTAAATCCATTTTAATATTATTTAATTCAACGTTAAGTGTTACTTGATCACTGCATATGGTGTTTGCTCGATGACATAAAGTTTTAATTATTCCTTTCTTAGTTGCTTCAGAATGGTTTGTGTGTGGGTGTGTGTGGGTTTTCTGTATAAGTCTTAATAGATCCCTCATTTCTACTCAAAAGGACGTTTAGAAACGTTAGACAGAGGTCCTTCTCTTAGAGTAATTGATTTAAACTAAAACTATAGCACTCTAATTACATTTTTAACATTAAGGACTATACAACGTACAGATAAGTTTCCATTGGATAAAATCACATTTCTCTAACAGTTACTACGGCAAACTAATGAAATACAATCTGAATATATCCAATATTTTATACAAACAAATTAAACCTTCTTATGCTCTATAACCTGCATAGTTTTAAATAAAACTACATATTTTATCTAACATATATTCCCTTTTTATTTATAGTTATCACCTCATCACCTATGGACTCGAAGCGACGAGCGGAGAGTTGGAAGAAGAACCGGCGCGCACTCGCTTACAGCACAGTAGGAACCCCCGACTACATAGCGCCAGAAGTTTTCTTACAGACCGGTTACGGACCGGCCTGCGACTGGTGGTCGCTGGGAGTCATTATGTACGAAATGTTAATAGGATACCCTCCTTTCTGTTCTGAAAATCCGCAGGACACATATCGCAAAGTGATGAACTGGAGGGAAACACTGGTATTCCCCGCGGAGGTGCCCATCTCCGAGGAAGCCAAGGATACGATAGTCAAGTAAGTAAATGAACAAACTTAAAAACAATAAGACTTAAGTTTGTGACGTAATATTGAATCCGTTCTAAAATTTAGTAATACTGCCAAGGTCAGTATTCTTCTACGGCCAAGGTCAGTATTCTTCATCGCTACCGATCGCTATTTAGTTACAGAGTTCCATACCAGGTTTCGCATGCATAGGTCATGACTGGTAGTGGTAGTACACATTGGTCAAATGTTTTCTTCTTTAGATAGAGTGACTTTCTAGATTTGAATATGATTGAGTTTCTTCCATAAGTGCTCCATGCTAAGTTAATTCTTCTGTTGATTTCTGATAGTAGATACACAGCTCGGGATGTGTATTAGTTGTTCCAAATATATATTTTCTTTTACCATTTCCAGTGTTGTGTTATTTATTAGAATGTCTTTTCTTTCCACTAGTTCGTTGTACATTAGGTACTTTTTTTTTGCTAAATTCATATTGAGGCTCACTTTAATGCTGGGATGTATTTAGTTCATTAATTTGTGCTTGTAGTTCTTCAGGACTATCGGCAATTAGGACTGAATCATCGGTGAATCTTAGATGGTGAAGATATTCTCCATCTATTTTTAATCCTTTGTTGGTCCAGACTATAATAAATTTTGCGAGAAAGTTTTACTCCAGGTTAGAAAAATGTCGCCTATGATCCTTTGACCCCGAAGGAAAATATTTACTTGTCGTCTTTGCACATCATGGTATGGTTGATCAAACAGTTCGTGAAAGCAACGGACAAGACAGGTACTAAATTTTCTCGCCTAGTAAGGCTAAAATCAAGAAAGGAGATCTTGTGGGTCCCTAGATTAGACAGATTTTCCAGATTCAACGTTTATTGATCACCTGAATCGAAGATAATAAAGAGCTTGGTTGGAATTCCAAATCATCATGTAAGAACTTTTTGGGTAACCATGAAAGTGAAGATTATGACGCCCAGGTCGAGGAATTGCTTAGCGTACCAGGTCATAGAATCTAACATGTCACTAAAAGTGACTTTCCCTCTATCGCACATGGACTTTTTCTTTGAAAATTTAGGGGCAGCCTCGGATGAACACGAGGAAAAGTTCCATCAAGACATCGCTAAGCTGAAGAAGATATTTTCAGAGAACTCGGATGCAATAAAGTAGAGAGGGCTCTCCTAAAAATGGTGGGTTGTAGAAGAAAACGGGAGCTATATTTCTATTTAAGACGTCATTTTACATCAGTATTAGCAGGAATAGTAGCAGGGTTCGAGAAAAAATTACTTTTTGTAGACCAGTTTTTAGAGAATTTAATTTTCAGAGAAATTAAATTGAGGATAACCATTATGGTTAATTGTGAACATTACGCAACTGCTGTTTTTTGTATTCTCATAGTATAATGTTTTTCAGATATTGCTGTGAAGCGGAGAGGCGACTAGGATCTCAAAAGGGTCTGGAAGACCTGAAACTGATCCCGTTCTTCCGAGGGGTGGATTGGGAACATATCCGGGAGAGGCCGGCAGCTATTCCCGTAGAAGTTCGATCGATAGATGATACGTCCAACTTTGACGACTTCCCCGATGTCAAGCTAGAAATTCGTAAGTATTATTTAGTATTTTACCGTATTAGAGCCTTAGCTCACATCTTACGGTAATGCACGTCATCAATCATATCGAAATTGACACTAAAGCCTATAAACCTAACTAAATGAAATAAATAAATTGGAAAAAATGTTTAAATGTTGTATAATTTAAGATACAGAGCAGCTCTTCATTTTACTTTATAGAGCATATCGTCAGTGAAACGTGATAACCTGCTAACTCCATTTTTTACGTTAATAAGTTTTTTATACCATTAGAAAGAGAAAAAAAATTAATTAAAAAAGTAGCCTTTCAAGTGTTAGGTGAACAGAACATGCAGAAGAAAAGGGATGAACCAGCCTGGATAACTGACAACATAAAGACCTTAATAAATGAAAAACAAAAATTCTATCAAAAATGGCTCTCAGACAGAACAGAGACTAACTGGGGTCATTACAAGCAAAAAAACAGAGGTACGAGCCGCTATTAAGGTAGGAAAAACGGGTATGTGGGAAAGAAGATGTCAGCAAGTGGAAAGTCTACTAGGGGGCGCACGGAGTACTGAGGTCTGGCGAACAATCCGACAAATGAAAACCAATCAAACGGACAAGCTCTTGAATAAAATTGATATAGGAAAATGGCGCAACTATTATGCAGAATTACTAACAAAAAACCGACCAGAATTCCAATCTGCAGAAGAGGAAGACAACCTTGCGGGCACTTTAACGATCAGCGAAAGAGAAGTACATCTAAGTCTCAAAAAAATTAAAAATGGACGGTCACCAGGTCCTGGTAACATTGCAGTAGAATTGTTAAAGTGTGGGACCGAGAAATTGCGCTGGCGCCTGGCGGAGCTGTTCAACCAGTGCTGTCTGCAAAATAAACTACCCCAAGAATGGAGAGTGGCTCATATAGTGTCTATCTTTAAAAAGGGAAATCGCAACGACCCCGGTTGTTATAGAGGCCTGAGCATTAACAGTTCAGTGAGCAGGCTTTCTGGAAAAGTTCTGCAGGGTAAGCTCAGGGATAATATTGGTGACAAAATCTCGGAAGATCAAAACGGATTCACACCGGGGAAATCTTGCACAGATAACCTCTTTGTCCTACAGCAGGTGATGGAAAAAGATAGCAGTAGATCAAGAAGTCCATCTAGCGTTTATTGATTTGGAGAAAGCGTACGACTCTATTCCTCGCAACAAGATATGGGAAGCCTTGAATATTTTAGAAGTAGATAGACCCCTTACTTAAGATAATAAAGAGCTCTATAAAGAAAATAAAGCGTACGTTAAGATAGGACACAGGCTATCCAATCCAATAAATACCACAAAAGAGTTGCGACAAGAATGCAGCTTATCACCTCTAATCTTCAATGCTTACGTTGAAGTAGCCCTTAGGGAATGGAAGACGAGATGCCAAGGCATGGGAATACCCATTGGGGAAGATACACTGTTTACTCTGAGCTTTGCAGACGATCAGGTCGTGATTGCGCAGGACTCTTTCGATCTGGAGTTCATGACTAAGAGGCTTTACCAAGAATATAACAAATGGGGACTTCAGGTTAGTCTAAAAATGACAGAATACTTAGCTGTCAATTCCAACGCTTGTTTTGTAGTCTTCATAGATGATAACGTCCAGATTCAACAAGTAGACAAATTTAAATACCTGGGTGCTACTATCAACAACGACGGTTTGGGCAAAGAAGAAATTCAAACCCGAATTCAGAAGAGCAAACAAGTTATTGGTTGTCTTAATAGCCTCTGGTGGGACCGAAACTTGTCTGCAACAACTAAAAAGAGACTTGGACGAACATTGGTGGAGTCAGTTCTTTGCTATGGTTCAGAGCTATGGTCTTTGAGTGCAGATACGAAGCGCAAAATCCAAGTTGTTGAAATGGACTATCTTAGAAGGAGCGCTAGGATGGAAAAAAAGACAAACATCGAGGTCAGGCGTATCATGAATGCATCGGAGGAGACAGTGCTAGATCGAATTGCAAAATCCAGCTTAAAGTGGTTTGGACATGTTCTACGTATGCCGGAGAACAGGTGGCCAAGAAAAGTTTTTCAATGGACTCCCCAGGGTAGAAGAAAGAGAGGCAGACCTAGAAAATCCTGGAACGGAACGGTTAAGGAAGCAATGGAAGCTCGTAACCTAGAAGCTGATGACGCACTAAATCGAGACGTGTGGCGTAGGGTAACGGGAAGGCAGCAATAGGCTGTAGTTGGAAAAAAGTATCAAATACTTATACCAAATCCCGTTTATATATATAGAAAGAGAAAAAAAATACTCTATAAATAGGGAAAGCAAATACATTTTTTCCCATTAAAAAAAATTTGCTATTTTAACTCAATAAAATCTGCTAACTCCCAATGATCGGAAATAGCCACTGAAATGCTGCTATCTCCGTAATTTCCGTTACGATCACGCTAAAGGAAACACACGGATTCTTATTTGCCTGTTTCTTTTGTACAGTACGTCGATCCAGGGTCGCACTAGGCCAAAGGGACCCGGGTGGCAATGTAAAGAGGGGCCCTTGTGGATTTTTTTGCGTATTTTTTCGCATTACGTTTTAGTCAATTTTCCCCTATTATATACAGGGTGAGTCTTAAATAAGTGCAAATATTTTTAGGGGTAGCATATTTCGACCCAAGAAACACAATTATGAGTTTTTTTGCGCGAATTTTTTTTGAAAATTTGAAATTTTTTAAAAAAAATCGGATTTTGTTTGTAATATGGCAACATAGGTAGTAGATTAAATTTACAAGAAAGAAAATCCAATGATTCTCAAAATTATAGCAAAAAATTGGAAATTCTAAAAGTGAAATAACTCGGTTGTTTTGGATTTATTTGAAAAAACGGCAAAGAGAAAATATTATGTTTCTTTTATCGAGATTTACCAGCCCTGAAAATATTTGCACTTATTTAAGACTCACCCTGTATAGAAATCAGGGAACTACCCTAATGCAAGGTAAACCAATGCAATGCAAATGCCATAATGCAATGCAAAACCAAATATTGTTAAGAATAAATAATGAACTATAAAGGGGGCCCGGGAAGGCTGGGGCTCCCCTAATAGTTATATATATATATATATATATATATATATATATATATATATATATATATATATATATATATATATATATATATATATATATAATATGGCCAGTCCGACCCTGCATCGATCCCTTCTGTACGGGGTATTCGTAAAGGGTAGGGGGAAAAACGAAATTCTCTATATACGAGCAATTCATCGGCGTGCTATAAATAGTTTAAATAATATTACTTAGTAGTACAAGAATTTCCATAATACCTAATCAGTTTTATTTTTTTCAGCGTTTTTCCACGTAAATGATACATAATTTATATAAAAATTAAAAAAATAAGGAGAAAAATAATAAAAATTAATTAAAATCACGCACTGTTTTTCAAGCTCGGTCTACTACCGTTATATAAAAATTAGGATAAGCATGGAAGGATTCTACCATATCTTCTAAGAATTATAAGTTTAATTTTTATATTATTTTCATATTCATTAAGTCCAAAATGCTGCTACTTCAGTTCTTTAAAAATTCATTCGTTTTTGGACTTGTATGTTTCGCTTCTAGACCGACGATATTCTAAATACATATATGGTTATGAATATCATATTTTTTAAATTTAATTCATTATTTCTAAATCTGTTTGGGTAATATTCAATTCCATTTTCAAAATTTCATACAATAAATAAGGTTGCTATCTCCAGAAGTATATTTTTATTTCTTATTTCTGCAAGACGAATATCTGCTCTCTCCCTATTGTAGCTCAAAAAAAAATTGTGTAACACGAAATATTGAGTTTTATTGTTCCCAAGCAAATAAAATTCTCATCTCTATATCATATTGACACATGAAAATACTTCCTACATGTGTACATATTTTTTTGTACAGTTTTTTTGCTCTCCTGTAAAATTAGAAATAATGGAGTTAGCAGTTTATCACATTTCACCGACGATATGATTTTAACAGATATTTTATTTATATTAAAGCGGCAAAAATTAGTTTAAGCCAAATTTTATTATCGCTATGTTGGTCACATTGCGTCGTATTCAGCAACGTTGTCGTTTATTATTTCACAATTATCATAATGTCAATCATTCTTTTGTATATCGTGTTGTTGAATCTTTGTGAGTAATTCTCGTTTTTTGCCTATTTTCATAGTCTTTTTTAAAAATTGTACTTTTAAGCACAAACAGTTCTTTTAAGAACTAAATTTTCGAGTTTTTGTATTGCATTTTGTATTGCAACAAAATGTGACATCGACAATGACAAGGTCACATTTTTGTTTGTATTTTACGACATAGATAAAGGAACAATTTTAGATTGAAATGCTCGGCTTGCCGCCAAAACTTATAACTGTTTTGGAGCGCATACGTTGCAGGGCACTGACACAAACAAGAACAGAAATATTTTTTTCTTATCAAAGTTAGAATATTAAAAAATTATAAAATCTTTCAAAATTTAAACCGCCCTCGTTGAAAAAATACCGAAAAGTGTTTAAAGCGTCCTTTTTCAAAGTAATTATTGCTATCTTGTGAGTTTAATTTAATTTAAATTTTATTTACTGAAACCCGTGATAATTGTAAAAAAGTGGCATTAAAAACTTAAAAAGCTGTGTGAACTGTGAACTCTGCAAAAACCATCATGGATCTTGGCATACCGCCGGTTTCCAATGTTTCATAGGTATTTCATACATGTCCTTCTATAAAGGAAAGTTTCTTATATGCAACCCACTGTATTTTATGTAAAAAATTAAAAGAAAATAATAAACTTGAATAAACAATATTTGGCGACATAATTCCGAAAAAAGCTGAACCGCTCCGAAATTATCAGAAGCTTTGGACAGCGGCCATTGCAAGAACAGCGCCGAATAGTATTTACATTATCCTTATGGGCACTTTCCAATCAAAAGTTATTTCTTTTATCTATGATTTTAATTATTGTAGCCTTCGCTGGACCGTTTTATAAATTTTAGAAATTTGAAAATAGACATAGAAATAGCAAATAACATTTAAATGCCGATACCAAATGAAACCAAATTCTGGTCGAAAGTACGACTTTAACGCCTCTTCAAAAAAGTCTAATACAACTTTTTACATAAAATCATCTGGGGAAATAATATTTGACCTTTTCAAAATGTACAGGGTGGGTCAAATTCGACGCTTTTAAATGGAAACACCCTTTTCTATAGGAGATAGACAAAAACTAATATCGGTGTCTGGAGCTCAATCTTTTATCAAAAACATGATGGTGAAAACGGCATATCGATATCTGTTACCGTTTCTGAGTTATGGCAAGTTTTTCAAAAATATGCATTTTTAACAAATCGCTGTAACTTTTTTGCTATGGAAAATTTTGTATTTTTATGAAAACATTTCCAAAGCACTTTTTTACGTAGAATTTAATGGTTTAAGTATATTTTTTTTAAAATTAATAATTTAAGCATTATCAACAGAAAATTTGATTTTTTATATGGGACACCTTGTATATTTTTAATTTATTGAAAGGAATTTAAAATTACCTTTCCAAAAATATAACAAACTTGGTATTTTGCTCGATTCCTATTCGAGATATAGAGTATATAAAAATTCGCATGCTTTAAATAAGTAGGCTTTGAATGGCACCGGCTGTAATGCAAAAAAATTCTAGCTGTGAGCATCAATTAAAACGAAAATAATATTTGCTATGAGAGATGCAGAATTTTATAACAATTTTAAATATATTTAACCAACATCAACACATTTAAACTATATCTAATAACAATAAAAATAAATAGCCAACATAAGACATGAGATTTTACTACAGGTGTTCGACATATCGACAGTCTTCTGTTATGGACAGACGGGGCAGTTTTTGAACATTTCTCGCGAAATTCATTAACTCAGTGGGGGTGAAAGATACCCTCTCATAACTGCTAAATATTTATAATTCTTGTCTAGATTATACGGAAGAATAAGGAACCTTTATTCTTCCGCAATCCATAGGATTAGATCCATGGGCACACTAAGTCAGGCGGCCTCGACGGCCAACGGCTGAGATCTTGGTTAGCTATTCAATTATTCTTGAAACTGGCTGCAAAAATTTGCTAATAACTTCAGCGTTCAGAGGCGGTGCGTCGTCTTGCTGGAAAAATATGTTTTCGAGTTCCATTAAGGGCATTTCATCAATAAGGGGTCCAAAGCCTACTAGTTAAAAGTGGCGAACTTTTTAAAATTCTGTATTTCTGAAGGGATTATAACAAAATATCAAGTGTGCTATATTTTCGGGAAAGGTAATTTTTAAATTCTTTTTCAATTAATTTAAAAATATAGAGGGTGTCCCAAATAAAACTCAATTTTTCTGTATATAACTCTTTAAATTATTAATTTTAAAAAAAATATACTTAAACCATTAAATTTTACGTAAATAGGTGCTTTGAAATGTTTTCATAGAAATACAAAATTTTTTCATAGTAAAAAAGTTACAGCGATTTGTTAAAAATGCACATTTTTGAAAAACTCCGAAACGGTAACACATATTGATGTGCGGTTTTCACCATCATGTTTTTGATGAAAATTAAGCTCCAGACACCGATATTAGTTTTCGTATATCTTCTATAGAAAAGGGTGTTTCAATTTAAAAGCGTCCAATTTGACCCACCCTGTACATAGGATTTTCTGTCTCCCGTGTTCCGATGCACCACACGGTATTTTTTTATTGTCAAAATAAATACACTAAAATTTCACTTTTCTTTTCCAGCTGCGGCACCCATGCCACAAGACGGCGAGATCAACTACAAAGACTGGGTGTTCATCAATTACATCGCTCAAAAGATTCAAGGATTGACGCAAAGGGGCACCCCCAAGAAGAACTAATTTCAACCACCAACCAGATTTCTGAGCAGTTTTTATTTGGAAAGGGTTTTCTTCTGCACCCCGTCACGCCGACCGTCGCAATTTATTTAATTTAAATTGTGTCTGTAATACTCGAACGTCCCTAGACAGTGTGGGACCAGGGGGCGAAGTCCTAACTACATCTGTACTGTATAGGTCTGGAGCAGTTTATGCACTGTTTGCTTTTGAGCTGTGAAAAATTCGTGAGCTCGGGTTGATTCGGAGCCTGATTTTGAATCTCCGTTTGTTGTAAATATCGAAACATCTAGGAGGAGGCGCAGTCGCCAGGACCAACCCGAGCAAGTTCAGTGTGTGTAAAATGTTATTTTTTGTTTTAATTGTTACAAAGTGATACTTTTTATTATATAAGATTTTGTTTTTAACTTATAATAGACACTGTGAAGCTATTTTGTAATAGTAGTACTATCTAAATTTACGGGCACCGTTTAGGTCAGTCTGCTTCTGTCAGTGAGATCATACATTCTGTTTACTTTGGCTAAAATAAAAATTTCAAAGTCTTTTTGAAAAGTGTACGACTGTAGGTATGGGAGCTCAATGTGTTTGTGATCCGATTCGAAAGTTATCTGTTAACTGTATCTATTTTACGAATTAATGAAATTATAATGATGTTCTAGATAAAGTAGTGGGTATTTAAAATGCTCTTTATAAGTATATTAACTGATATTTTATAACCTTTTTGATATAACCAGAGCAGATTATATTATCATTAGGAATTGTTGTAATTAAATGACGTAGCTTCTTTTGTAGGTGACAATGTTTTGTTTTCTAACATATCAAAACTTTTCAAATGTTGCATGCTGATCCTAATAATGTGCAATTAATAATGAATAAAGAAATCTTTTTAGTTTGCTCTCTACAGTTTAACCGTTGAGCATTTATGACAAATATGATGCTCCAATCTCTTAATAAATTACAATTTGTTACTTTTTTATTAGTAGCTGGTCTCGCTAACAGGACTTGTAAATATATTTTCTTTCAGAAATTGTGTAAAACTAAAAAACTATGAAATAAATTATATTATGTGCTTAACTGCTTCTTTTTTTATTCCCTACTATACCCCAATATCGTGCGATCGAAAAAAACGGCGTTCAGTTGGCTTGGAAATTACTATGAATGGCATTCCCCATATAATTTTACATATAAAATGACAGCGATCTTCATTTCATAGCCAGCGCCGACGCCGAATTAATGTAAATATGAAAAAAAAATATTTTTTGCAATTTTCCATTTAAATCCAAAATAGCCAGTAATCAAAGTTCATTAATAGGCTACAACTTTTACCTCCTGGCTCTTATGTACCCCTGATACAAATCTCTAATATTTCAACCGTTTAACAAAAATTGCACGAAATATTTTAAGTCTTTTAAAAATTTTTTTAATCCGTATCCAAAATTACATCTCTCATATTTCTATCAGGAACATATAAGCATTTGCTTAAACAGTATTTGCTATTATCTCAAAACAACGTTTGTGGGATAAGGAGGGTTTTGCAATTTGACGCCTCAAATACAACATTGATCAACGATATTTCTGTTGACTCTAGCATTTCGACCTCGTTTCAAAAATTAAAGACCAAAGATCAGGTATACCGGGTGCGTCTCTTGAGCCTCCGAAGCCCTCCCCATCGATCCGCCACTGATGATATATCTAATGAATAATCTCTAATCTAATACTGATGATATATCCCAAAAAATTGTTCCAAAGCAGTTCCAAACCAAACCAAAACTCAATTTTAAAACGAATTAGAATCGGAAACGAAAAGAAAATGAATTAGAAAATAAATCCTAAACTATACACAATTTAACAATGTACAATTTTATGTAGGCAATAATAGAAATGAGAGCAAAAACTTATTAGTCTTAGAAGGATAGCAGTAAAAGAAGACATTTAGAAAATCTATATAGAAGAGATATAACCAGGGGTGGATGGGGAAGTGGAACCGGCACGGAAAAAATAGGCAACCGGCCCAAATCCACAAAAACAAAATGACCATAACGAAGAAACATATTTTATTTATTAATATATAAGTAAGGGTGTTTTTCGCTCGTGCGAAAAAGCTCTTTTCCCTCTGGTTAAAAAAAATAAATTGTCTTGATCAAAATTTTCGTAAAGACCAATATTGGGTCGGACATCTGAATTTTTACTACAAAATGGCTCAGTTTTACAGGGTTCTACTCCTTTATTTCCATTATCGATAACGGTAATTTGATCTTGAATAGGCTACGATTTTGAAAAAAATCATTCTGTTCAGCTGACCCAATCCTCTGTAAAATACATTACTTTTAGCTTTTCGGGTATATACTTTCTGACACATTGTAGAAAGAAATTCTCTCTTTTCTATACTTTCTGACACATTGTAGAAAGAAATTCTCTCTTTTCTGCTACAGTAGCAGCCTCCTCGTGTACAGGGTGGGTCAAATTCGACGCTTTTAAATGGAAACACCCTTTTCTATAGGAGATAGACAAAAACTAATATCAGTGTCTGGAGTTCAATTTTTGTCAAAAATATGATGGTGAAAACCGCATATCGATATCTGTTACCGTTTCGGAGTTTTTCAAAAATGTGCATTTTTAACAAATCGCTGTAACTTTTTTGCTATAGAACATTTTGTATTTTTATGAAAACATTTCCAAAGCATCTTTTTACGTAGAATTTAATGGTTTCAGTATAATTTTTTTAAAATTAATAATTTAAGAATTATCAACAAAAAAATTTATTTTTTATATGGGACACCCTGTATATTTTTAATTTATTGAAAAAAATTTAAAATTACCTTTCCAAAAATATAACACACTTGATATTTTGCTCGATTCCTCTTCGAGATATAGAGTATATAAAAATTCGCATGCTTTAAATAAGTAGGCTTTGAATGGCACCGGCTGTAATGCAAAAAAATTCTAGCTGTGAGCATCAATTAAAACGAAAATAATATTTGCTATGAGAGATGCAGAATTTTATAACAATTTAAAATATATTTAACCAACATCAACACATTTAAACTATATCTAATAACAATAAAAATAAATAGCAAACCAAGACATTTTTTCAAGAGATTTTGCTACAGGTGTTCGACAGATCAACCGCCTTCTGTTATGGACAGACGAGGCAGTTTTTGAACATTTCTCACGGAATTCATTAACTCAGTAGGGGTGAAAGATACCCTCTCATAACTGCTAAGTATTTTTAATTCTTGTCTAGATTATACGGAAGAATAAGGAACCTTTATTCTTCCGCAAATATATCTATAGGATTAGATCCATGGGCACTAAGTCAGGTGGCCTCGACGGCCAACGGCTGGGATCTTGGTTAGCTATTCAATTATTCTTGAAATTGGCTGCAAAAATTTGCTGATAACTTCAGCGTTCTGAGGCGGTGCGTCGTCTTGCTGGAAACATATGTTTTTGAGTTCCATTAAGGGCATATCATCAATAAGCGGTCCAACGCCTACTAGTTAAAAGAGGTAAACTTTTAAAAATTCTGTATTTCGAAGGGGATTATAACAAAATATCAAGTGTGCTATATTTTTGGAGAGGTAATTTTAAATTCTTTTCAGTTAATTAAAAATATAGAGGGTGTCCCAAATAAAAAATCATTTTTTCTGTTGATAACTCTTAAATTATTAATTTTAAAAAATTATACTTAAACCATTAAATTCTACGTAAATAGGTGCTTTGGAAATGTTTTCATAGAAATACAAAATTTTCCATAGCAAAAAAGTTACAGCGATTTGTTAAAAATGCACATTTTTGAAAAACACCCCGTAACTCCGAAACGGTAACAGATATTGATGTGCGGTTTTCACCATCATGTTTTTGATGACAATGTGATGACAATTGAGCTCCAGACACCGATATTAGTTTTCGCCTATCTCCTATAGAAAAGGATGTTTCCATTTAAAAGCGTCGAATTTGACCCACCCTGTACACGTGTTTTTAACTGACTGAACCGCGGTGGCCATTAAAACTGCAGCATTTTTTAGGTTATTGTTATTATATGTATATATGTATAGTTCTCATCACAGAACTTTTCCTCTATACTTTTCTACATCTTGTATGATAATGCCATGACTCAAACGAAAAAAACCTAGGCAGTGGATATAAATGTGTTCTGATGCTGATGTAATGCTATGTTACAGTCCTCAGTCCATAATAAGAATATTTGGATTTTCGAGACATATTAATATTTTATTATCTAATCTAGTTTAAACCTTATTTAACTCTTCTCTGCTGTCTCAGTAACTTTTAGCAAATTCATTTTAGCAACATTTTAAACAACAATTTAGACTTGGCTTTTAGTCCGACGCCAATTCAAGCCAAACATAGATATGTTTTCTCCGTCAACCGCAGAGTTCGCGTCAAATCGTCTACCTTTTTACAAAGGGGAGCTCGAAAATATTGCACCGAGGCCCCCAGTTGTCAATCTACGCTACCGTATTCTTAGTATACAGTTAGATCGAGACTATTTAAATTTACCCAATGCTATTCATTCTTTTTTTTGCTGCCAGTCAGTCATATTTACTAGTTATTAATAAAAGAATGGGTAAAATTATACAGGGTGAGTCTTAAATAAGTGCAAATATTTTCAGGGTTGGTATATTTCGACCCCAGGAACACGTCTATGAGGTTTTTTTTGCAAAAAAAGATAAAAATCGAGCATTTTCTTTTAAATTTTCCTGTATATTTTAGAAAACTTTTTAGAACTTCCTGTTCACCGCAAATTTTCCCACGGTATAGTTTCTTAATCTCTGATATTACGGCACTAAAAGAGATGCAAATACCGAAAAATTGAGGTGGCTCAAATTTTTTTAAAAATAAATATTTTTTTTTAAATTTCCAAACTTTAATAACCTATTGATAATTGGACTTATTTGAAACTCGATAAAGAGAATATATTATGTATATTTTATTGAGATCTACCAGCCCTGAAAATATTTGCACTTATAGACTCACCTTGTATAATAAAAATTTTCAAAC